GGGGGGGGGGGGGGGGGGGGGGGGGGGGGGGGGGGGGGGGGGGGGGGGGGTATGGGAAGTACACAATGAAGTGTGTTGTACATAGCCCCGTACGTACTCCTCGTTCGCAGTATTTGCTAAACAACGACTTGTTTTTGTCGTTAGGGCAAGGGAAGTATGAGTTGCGGTGTGTTTGTAGCCCCTCTCGGTCCGTCCTGGCCACGCTATGTGGGAGAGGGAATGAATGGCAGAGAAGGAGACGGACAGACAGACACACAGAGAGACAGAGAAAGGGGCAGAGAGAGAGAGAGACAGAGACAGAGACAGAGACAGACAGAGACAGACTGACAGAGACAGACAGAGAGGAGGGAGGAAAGAGAGAGGTAACCGACCAACCGGACACCCGGAACCTCCGTCACATCCAACCAGTGGCATTGCTTTTTCTGCCACATTTTCTTTTTCTGCCCCAATATCCAAGATCACCTCGCTTTATAACCACTTCCGACACTGTCTTTTTTGCCCCAAGATCCACCAAACGCCTTCCTTTCCCCCCCCACCAACACCAGGCGAAGGCGAGAAGCCTTACCGCGGAGGAAGAGAAGAGGTGCGGCCGCCCGCTGGGCGTCAAGTGGCGGAACGGCAAGCTCTACATCCTCGACGCCTACCACGGACTCTTCGAGCTCGAATTTGCAAAGGGAGGAACAAGGGCCAAGCACTTGGTGCGTGCGCGCGAGCGCGAACGCTCTTGTTTGTTTGCCATCCGGCGTATGGTATCTACGGTTGTTTTACGAACGGACAAACGCGTCCGGCGGGAGCTTGGCGGTGGCGGTCCGCCTTTCTCTGCCCTTGCTTCCTCTTTGTGCTTTGGATGGTGTTTTTTTTTTTCTAAAATCGGCAGCGAAGGCCTCCAAGAACGAACATGCGTGTCCGAAACAGCTTTTTCTCAGCCAGGAAAACATATTTTGAGCCATGCTGGTAACCCAGGCAAGGCATTTTATTTGTTTTTGTTCGGTCTGTTGAATTTTCCAAGAAAACAAGAACGAATGAGGTGCCCAATTCTTCTGATGCATGGCTTCTTGTTCTTGTTTTGTCTTGTCGACAGAGACCCGGACGTAGCCTGTTCACGCGGCGGACAGCCGGGCGCGTTGTATCTCGCGCTGGTTGGTCCATCCGTACCATATGGAGACCACCCTTCCTTGGAAGCAGCTAACTCCCTGTAACCACCCCTTTTCCTCGTACCCCCAGTGCCCAATCCTACAGCCGTCCCCCCATTCCCTGCTCTTCGAACGTAACGCTAAAAGATCAACTCTTTGACGGATGTCCCGGTCCCGTTCGGGGGTGAACCTGGCGGGGGCGTGTCGGCAGCGGAGGAAACCACGCGCCCCGTTTTGTTCTTCAACGACTTCGACTTCACGGCAGAAGGTGCTATGTGCTATGTGTGCTGTTTTAGATGGGGGTGTTTCGTGTGTGAGCTAATTTACCAAACTTGGGAAATCTGGTGTACCCACTCAACGCTTACCCTCGCCAGTGGGTACGATTGCGTTTGGCAGCTCTGCTGTCCGTTTAGTACCTAGGCGTTCGGCGCTATAACGCTCTGGGTAGCGTCGCTGGAATGCTCTATAGATTCATGCACGCCTGAAAATGCACTGTGCAGCGTTGACGAATCGATGCAAGGAAGGGGCGTGGCGAGCGACATGTATAGCTGACGCGGCGGTCCGGTGCACAATACGAGTCTTTTTTTCTTGGAAGACGAAGGCGAAAACGATTTGCAAGCTGCAGGGACTCTCGGAGCTCACGTCGGCGCTCGCGAAACAACAACAGCTGTCCCCTTGGTGTGCTGCGTGGCATTTTGCTTATAGCTACGTGCCTCGATTTGTGCTGCGTTGATAGCCTTGTGGGAGGGGGTAAGAGCGAAACCCACATGGCAAACGGCATTCTGTACATACTAGAACCAGGCTTCCACCGGCAACAACAGCAGCAGTCGCTGACTCCACCGCCGCCGCCGCTGTCTTCGCCAATTGCGAGGCAGCCCCCCCCCCACCTCCTTGCTTCCTTTTTGGGTGGTCACCGCTCGCCCGCGGCACGATTCTCTTCTTCCTCTGTGTTTCTCACTATCTGTCTCGTCCCCCTCCCGCTCGCTGCGCCTCTCTGTCTCTGTCTTCCTCGTTGCATGTTGCCCGTCCGCTGCCTATCCGGCTGCTCGTCCCCTCTTTCTCATTACCTGGCCTATCAGGGATCGTTTTCCTGTCCGACAGCAGCTGGAAGTACCCACGCGCCCACAACCGAAGAGACGTGAGTCGACCGATCCTTCGATAATCCACTTGTCGCCGAATGAACGAAGAGGATATTGGTTTACGAGGTTATCCCTTTAGTCCTTGTACCGTATGTCAAGAGTAACAGGGCCCTACCTGGCGGTGTGCTTGAATGCATTCACGGATGTTTTTGCCCGCTAGCGCATCAACAAAGACATATACGCACATCAGTCGTCATCCGTGGAGCAATCTCCGGGATAGGTCCTCGAACAATATCGTATGTGTGGTTCCTGGACCCGCTGCTGGCGATCTAGTAGCCCTCGCATCGCTTTCGGTGACGACTCTTCGATCAACCCCTTCCTTGAGGGAATGAAGTAATCGAATTCCGTTTGTTGAGAATGCAGTCATCATCCCTTCGGAGGCGACCCGAGCAATCCCCTCCCCATCTCTTCAAACCAAACCCCGGCTCTTCGAGCAGCGAACCCACGCCTTCGAAGAGGAAATCCATCATCTCTTCGAAGGCAAGAACATCTCAGAAGGTCGTGCATCTCTCCGGAGCTGAACACAAGCCATCCCTGTTCAGAGTTCACTCTTCTCTCTTCAGAGATGAATCAATCAAGCTTTTTATTTGTTCTGTTTCCCTCTCGTCTTCGCCAATCAGTTGTTTGTCGTTGGATCATCGACGGAGCCCCGAACGGTAACCCCATCCGTTCAGAGCTCACCCATCCCTTCAGAAATGACCATTCGTTTTTTTTGTTGTGTGGGACGGTCGGTCGTTCGTCGACCGATCGTCTTCAGAGATGATTATTCAATTTTTGGTTTTGTTTCGCCCTCGCAATTTTTGGCTTAGTTTCCCCCTCGCCATCGCCGGCCGGCCACCTGTCATTGTTCGGTAGATCGTCGACGGAGCCCCAAACGGCCGGCTCCTGCGGTTCGACCCCGGCTCGGGGGACCTTCACACGGTCATGTGCGGGTTGCATTTCCCCAACGGAGTGGAGGTGAGCAAGCCGCCGCCGAAACAGACGGGCGGTTATGGCACGTTCGTACGAGGTTACGGTCGTGTAAGCGCCTTTTACTCGTCTTCACTACGCGAAGAAGGTGATCGCCACCGCGCAAATCGTGGTAAGGCTTGTCTACAGACACCTGGGGATACGCTCAAGTGTTTCGCTTGGCAGCAGCGTCGCACGATCTTAGCTGACGTTGTTGCCATGCCCTTTTTTCACGCCGTCCATTCTTGACGCCGGTCGAGCCTCCCTCTTTCAACCACTGTTGTGGTCAAGCCTGTGTGAACGGAGTGAAGTGTTGATCTGTCGCTCAAGATGACGGTAGTTATGACCCGTGGTGTAGCCTGCGTACGCGTTTAGGCAGGAAGAAACGAGACAGACAACGGCACCTACACGAGCTACTCTTTGCGTCCTAATCCTGTGATTCGATTGCTGTAGCGGCGCTTCAGGAGTTGTGTGGTCCCACAAACGACGGCCCCCCCCCCCCCTCCATCAGCTTGAGAACCTACCAACCTCACCAATTCGCCCCCCCCTTGCAACACCGGCTCTTTTTCTCGCCTGAAACCCGCGCACGACCAATACAAGCTTCACCCGTCTGGGAAAAAGTTGCTCGTGGTAGAGTCGATGCGATTCCGGGTGCTGGAGGTTGATCTGGCTCATGTTCTCCAGGGCCAGGCATCTTCGGAGAACTCCCACAGAGAAGAGAAGACGCCTGCCGCGTCGCTCGTCGATGCCCTGGGGTCTTGCGGAGAGGAGGAGGCCTTGCCCGATGGGGTGCGGGTTTTCGCGGAGGCGTTGCCAGGTATGATGATGAAACCGCCGCGTTTGTTATTTTTTGCGGTGTTCCTCCTGTTTTTTTGTTTAGGGCATGATGAGCGAAAAACATAGGCAGGGATGGCGGCGGCGACAATGGCGACGACGACAACCAGAACATGGACGTGAATAACGACAACAGCAACGTTTAACAGCAAGTGTTTAGGGTTCAAATTGCATCTGTGATTTAGATGTCTGCCAGACTTTCTGGCCACCGGATGAATCCTTGGGGTGTCAACGTAGGGTGGGAACGCCTCCCTTATTGCTCGTTCAGCACTGACGAAGTGATAAAAGTATGTCGTTGGTTACCACGCCGCAACAACAGTGAAACGTGTCTCAGATTACGTATCGCGAATATTGTACTACCGCTCTCTTTACCATGAAGATTGCACCGGACCGAACTAAGAATCGTTGTTGAACCTCGCTTTTCTTAGGACCACACTATCACCGCGCACGGATTGAGTTTGTTTAGGGATATCCGCCCTCACTGAACAGCCGCTGAGTTGTTTAGTTGGTAACTTACAGTAAATAGTTACACCTTCTGTCTCTTGGCTGTGGGTTTGAGTCCTTCTGGAGTGGAAAAGATCGGAATTTAGACCTAGAAGTGGAATGAGCGGAAAGTCGTGACCGCACACAAGCAAGAGGGGAAGGGAGTGCTGAAGACCCTTCTCGCGTGAAGAGACGATCGCAAGCACCCCAGGAGGAGAAGGAAACGTGGAGGTGAAGGGATAGAAACACTCCCGTGTTTACCTTCTTGCCTGTGTGGCTCCGATGGGCATGCATCCTCTTGACGAAGGTGTACAGTGGGAGTCTCGTTTTAGCGATTCCCTGTCGAGCGACCACAATATCGCGTGGCGCCGCCGCACCCCCGTTAGTATAGGTGCTACATGATTGTTTGTTCGGTTTAGCGACCTTCCCCGAACAGCGGCCAAATTTCGTCGTGACGCTACGGTCGCTAGACCGGGCCCCCCACTGAACCGTAGACTGGCGCCCGGAATACATGGGACGAAAGACACGCACACGCACACACTTCTTTTGTGATGGTTTATGTCTTTAATCCGGAGCGTAGTTTAGCCTCCCCCATGACCCCCCCTCACGGGGTCCCACGTCATGGGCTTTGGAGGCAAGTTCTGTCTTGAACCACACTGAGACTAACATCTTTCCTTTGGTCAGCCGATTATCGTGGTCGACGCTACGAACAAAACACGCACACACATGACGATTTGCCTTTTCTTTCATCCCGCTGAAAAACTGAGGCATTTTCATTGGTCAGCCGTAAGGAACACGTAGGTACACACATTGACTGTGGTGGAATTTGGTCGATCAGTGTTCCATGACGTCTGAGGACGTCGCGAGTTCGTACTGACAGAAAACGCGCTAGCTCAATGGCATGCTGTCTCCGAATTATGTTTGTACGTTACAAGCAGCCTTCAGGCGAAGAAAGCGTGTCTCGTTGCGAAATTTCCTCTGTCAGAGTTCTTCGTGTGCTAAATGGTTTGCGATACCGACGGTCGACCGATTAGTGTCTTGGTGGTACCAATCGGTATATCGTAGCTACCGCCACCCATTTGGCGTGCGAAGCTTTTTGGCCGAGGAATTTTCGACGACTAGTCAACCTCTCTTCGCCTCAAGGCTTTGTTGTACCGCACCAACAGATTTTGGAGACCGTTTACCTTGGGGCTAGCTCTTTGTCTGCCCGTGCGCACCCGTGACGCGTTCAGGTAGATGTCGTGGACTACTGGTCGACCAAGTTCCATCACGGCCAATACGTTGAGATTTCTGTAGAGGTGAGGTGGACGAACAAGGAGGGGGGTGGTTGCAGTGGCGTAGGAGAAGAAAGGGAACAGGGTGAAATGGTGATGGATGGGGGAAGACCGAAGAGAGCAAGAATTTCGAGCCAGATCACCTTCCTCACAACAAACTCCGCAGGAGTAGAGAGGGGCCGGGCAAAACATAGCGGTATTTTTGGTGACGAGAGTGGTGGTAAAATAAAGGCAAGGGGAATGATGATGAATGCGTGTGCAAAGAAGCAGGTTTCCTCTGTTTCTACCGTCTCTGTCTTTCTTCCGGACAAGAAGCCTAGCCTCCCCCCTCACGGAGTCCCAGATCACGGCATTTGGGCGCGTAATCTGCTTTAAGCCTCACTGAGACTGATGTGTTTTCATTGGTCAGCCTTTAGCACGGTCGATGCCAGTAGTAAACACACATACATTGTTGCTTTTTTTAAAGTCCTCGCTACAAGACTGTGATATGAATATCTGCATTGATCATCCGGTTAGCGCGGAATATGCAAATTTTGAGCACACACACCCACACACACGGCCACGTACCGCAGCGGTGGCACAAGACCGGGTTAGGTTTATTGTCTCGACGCCGACAATCGCGCGTGAGAGCTCCGTCAGCACGAGCTATAGTTACGAGCGTGGACACTTTGCACAGGCAAACGAAACAGCTTGCCGCCGTTCACGCTGTTCCTCTCTTTTGCGACGACGACTATCGGGGCACTGTATCATCATCAGGCTTCGTGGACAACCTGGTGTTTGACGAGACCAGAGGCGGGTACGTTGCCGGCGCGGGCACCAAGGTAGCCGCGCCGTTCTCCGCCCTGCACCTGGCCCTGAAGGTGATGGTGCCTATGGTATGATATCTTCTGCAAGGAACGTGTATGTAGGACTGTAAACAGATTTTGAAAGTTTTCTTTTCGGGTCGTCGAGCTTCCCTGGGCTCTTCGAGCCGAAATCACGTCAGCTGTGTGAGCTGTTCGAGCTTGGGAAACGTCACTGATGGCAGCTGGAAGCTGACTCACGCCAACACATGCTTTGCTTTCTTACATCACGCCTTGATGACACTACTACTATGCTCTGGTGAGCCTACTCCGGAGGCGTGCTTTGTAAAACAACATGAGTCCACCTTCGCGACATCCACGCGCTGTGCGAATTATCATCGAAGCATAATTTACCCGTGCATTGAACCTTTTCCAACGGGGAGAGGATGAACTTGATCCGTCGTTCTCGAAATACGAGTATAAGGATGCATTGAAGAACAAAAATAGAGTCGTTGAAAGGTCGTTGACGTTTGTTTGTTTACTGTTGTTCCACGTCTCTCCAGAGCAATTATTCTTCGCACAACTTAAAAGTTTTGTTGTCGCTCCAGAGCGTACATATTTCCTACGCCTTCAAATTTTGTCGTCGTTTTCTTGAACCAATCAGAACTGAATGCAATCAGAATGTAATCAATTGTTCTACACTCTGCCCTTTATTTCATCACAGAATAACACAACCGTTTGTTTCCGATATCAATGCACGAAATTACCCCTTCCCCATGCTGCCCCGATACGCCCGACCTTTCTCTGTAGAAACCCGCAATTTTCAGAACAATAATCGGCAAGCTTGTGCCAATGGGGGTCATCGAGAACTTGGTTCCAAGGTGAGAGTTTTTTTTTACGGGGACCTTTTCTGTGCCAGCCCGCCGCCGCCATCAGCACAAAACCGGTACCCCCCCGTTCTGCTGTCGAATCTTGCCGTGCCGTACACCCGGGCCGAGTGGTTTCGTATCCCCACTACCGTTGTGTGTGAGTTTTGGCAGAAGCGCGTACTGTGTATCTAGGCATGCTACATGCGATAACATGAACGTTGATGGGTTCGAGGGTAGGTAACACTTGCGGCCCACAAATACCATTGTTGGTGATACGGGCCGACAGTTAACAAATTTGCAAGTACTATGTTCCCCAATTGTAAAATGAGGGTCTCAGCCACCAATAAACACCTACTAAGTATGAACAATTGAATACGCTAAATACATGCGACAAGCAGCCGTACTGCAGCAGTGGCATGGTGATTGGAACGACACCATGTGAACGGTGCATCTCGGCTGTGATGCATGGCCAACCGCTTCAAGACTGAGACAAGCAGCACGGCATTGTTTAGTACGCGCGCCCTCGCACCGCCCTCCCGTTCTTACAAAAGTGGTAGCCCATGACCCTTTGACCTTATCGGCCCGGAGCGCGAAATGTATCCAGTGCCCCCCCTCCCCCCGCCCCATCCCTACTACAATGGCCACATGACCCAAACGGCGTCCACCTAACGGCCCC